AAGAGCGGTGGGGCTGTGGAGAGCCAGGGCACCATCTCAGAATCCAGGAGCAACGAGAGTTTTGGCCAAGGTGAGAGGCTGATGCTGGAGCCTTGGGGAATAAAGACCCTGTAGTGAAAGAACCACTCCTGAGTGGATCAGCTTGGTCTTAAGTGATGTTTCCTTTGCACATTAATGATAGATGTAGCATGTTATGGAAAACATGTTTTCTTCTCTCTCTGGTTCACTTAAATCAGTTTTATTTAGCTAAGAAACTCATGTTGGACTAATGCCTTTGTCTGTTATAATTGTATTCCAGTCCTGTTCACAGTGCTTCACCAATCATGAGTAAAAAAATAATACCTTCCTAAAATACTTAACATGTTAAATTTTTTCCAGGTGTATATTTGTTTAAATATAATTTTATAGCTGTAATCTGTTCTCATTACTAAATGAAGCACTAAATTTAGCATAAAAGCTGTCGACATGTTCCAATCAACATGCCTTAATGACTGCCAACAACTGGAAATTAGGCTTTCATGGCAAAAAAAAAAGCTGAAAAGGTACAAGTGCAGAACAAGATTAGATCGACTGTTTTGATAAAAGTTCCCTGCTCTCTGCCTTAGGTCATGGTTTAACTCAATCCATTGTGTTTATGCTATTATTTTAATTGTTAATATTGGCTATGGACAAGGCAACACTCCTCTGGGGACTGGTTTGTGGTATTTCCTTCCATTAATATCTCCCCGTTAGCAGCTACATGTTGAGATCTCCCAGTGAGCCCTTTTTCAGAGCAGTTAACACGTTCCTTATTAATTCCATCTAATGGAAGCTTTTCATCAAAGTGTCAGATGGTGCTAAATCAAGCACCTCACCCAAGTGCAACCCTTACAATGTCCACATTGCTGCCTTTATCCATCAGCTTTCCCTTTTTGCAAAGAGAGTCTTTTCTTCTTTAATCCAGGCTTGTCTAACAGAGCCCACTTTCACTGAAACTATGTGGACTTCTGTGGTTGGTTTTTTTTTTTGGTTGGTTGTTGTTGGGGTTTTTTTCTTCCTTTCAAGGTGTCCCAAGAAGAATCATTCCATTATTCTTGACGAGATTGATGTTCGTGTTTCCTGCTTACCCTTGCTAAAATATTGGCTGCTGTTGGCAGACTTCCAGTTCTTTCACTTTCTACCTTGACATTTTTAATGGCTGTATGAATTAACATTTGTGGTTTGGAATATGAGAAATGCATTTTGAAGTGGCACCAGCTGACACTAGGTACAGTTGTGGCCCTGAATTCCAACTACTATTGACTGTTTACTGGGGAACAGGGAGTCTTCAGGCTCTGCAGACTCTCAGATTGTGCCTTGGAGTATCTTTGGCTTGCTTTGCTTTAGCTGTCCGGGCTGGTAATTAACTTTTGGACCTGAATAAGCTGAAGAATCTCATTCTTAGCTGAAGGAAGATGAGAAATAGCAACGACTGTATATTCTCCAGGTGTCTCATATCTTCCTTTAATTTTTTCAGGTTTTAATTACAAGTGGAAAGCAGGTCTTTGAAATACAGGATGGCTACTCAGCAGCTTTTACTGACTAGGCAAAAGAAAAAGTCCTCAAAGGTAAAAACCTTGAAATGTGCTGGTAATGACAAACTTAGCTCTCAGCTTTGGACCTGGCATGTCTGTGCCTGGTGAGGTGGGAGCACCTTCTGTTGGCTGCCCTGTTCTTAGTTGGATTATTTCCAATGTAGTGAGTCCACTTGAGACTTGAAACTTGAGAGTTTGACATGCATTTGACTCATTAGGTGTACCCAGAGCTTTATTAGCAGCAAGAAATGTAATGAACTAACAGAGGAACTAAATTTAGTCTGCTTTCCACTGAGATTGTTAATTTACAATCACACAGTATTGACATTAGCTGCAATTGTAGATGTGCTGTTTACAACCCTGTGTTCAAATCCCTCTGCCAACCAGGCCTGCCAGCAGCCACCACAGGTTCAGTCTGCTGTCAGATCTCAAAAAAAGCTGTGGCAGGCAGAGAAGTTTCATACAGCAGAGAAGGCCACACCAGCACAGGCACTTGTTTGGCTTCACAATTAATCCTGTAGAGCTCAGCTGGCAGAAAACTCTTTTATTTTTTAGGGGTGTTTGTCTGATAAGTGCCAGCATTGGTGCAGGGGAGGGGGTGGGAACATTCAGCCACAATAAAAGGGGAAGGAGTAACCAATATAGTCTGCTTCTGTGTGAATCATGCCAGATCTATCAATAATTATCCTTACAACATTGAATCCCACCCATGTTAGACATAAGTCCTCTCTGTGTGGTATGAAGGCCAGAGAAATGTTAAAAGTAGCTCTAAAATACACCCTCCCCTTCCACCTGCTGAGAGTAATTTCTAAATAGAATCGTCATGTTACACTAAAACAGTGCTGGGTTTGACTTTGCCCTTCTTTTTCAGGAGTCAGTGTTGTTCCCCAGCAAAACTGCCACGGAGCAGCAGTCTGTGGTGCTGGTGAAGAAACTCCTGGCTGTCTCAGTGTCCTGCATAACGTACATGAGGGGGCTGTTCCCAGAGAGCTCCTATGGAACTCGTTACGTAGATGGTAACACCCTCCATTTGTGCTGAATTCTTATTCCTACTTGTTGTATTTCATAATCTGCAGCTCCCAGCTGCTTGGGAGTCTGTGAGTTCAGTTTTTTAGGAAGTGAGCTCACAGGCCTTCTCAGGTCTGGGTGCAGGTGGTGCTTCTGCAGCAAACGGCGAGCACAGGAGGCAACCTTATTGCTATTGGCAACTCATGACTTCTCTGTTAATGTTTCTTTGGGTTTGTAACAGTTTCTTGGAGTTGCCAGCCCTGTGAATCAGATCTCAGCGTCAGGAGACTGACTTAAAGATCAGCAAGTTATAAAAATACTAACTTTGATAGGTGTGTTTTGTTTTCTTTTTAGATTTTTGAGTCCTTCAGGTTGAAATTTTCAGCTTTCCTTGCGAGACTGAAGATAGATTTGTTTGTTTCATTGTTGGTCCTTTTCTGTGAAAACTATCTCACATAACCACACATGCTTTGGGAATCAGAACTTTGAGAACAACAAATAACTTTAAGAAACCAAAGTCTTGTCATAGGGTCACAAGACTTGGTGATGCTTTGATTCATCAATATCTTGATGTGCATTCCAGGTGTGTTGGCAGAGCGTGAAACATCTCCATATTGATGTGTTTCCCTATTTTTACTTATGGAGTTAGTTGTCCTGAGTCATGGTCACAGGCACTTTGTGGGCTGGGTTGAGGGCACAGGAAATCCCAGACTGGCTCTTGATCACCTAACCCTGAAAAGCCACTAGTCTTTGTAATGAAATGTCAGGCCTTTCAAGTGCCTTTTTGATCAGGAGTGTTAACACCTGCCTGCTCATGCCTTTGAGGGCTTGTGTTACTACCTCACCCCTTAATTTTCAGAATTTCCCTCTTGCCATTCTGCTGCCTGAAACCTGAGGTAGAAGGCACTGTGTGGAAAAGCTTAACAGGACTGTTTTTTCCTGAGCACACTCATTTCCCTCTTGGTGAGGAATGGAGAAGTAAAGGTGTTGTTAGGAGTGGTGGAATAGATGGGAGTGGAGAAGAGGAGGGAGGAGAGGACGAAAGCTGCTGGTGTTTCAAAATCCAGCCATAACTCCAGCACTCCTGAGAGAGCCCAGAGCATCTGAAAAGAGTCTTGACATTTCAAAATGTAGCAATAAGCTTGTGTCAGCCCACCTGGGACCAACATTTCCGCTCAGGAAGGACCTCCAGATAAAGCATTTTATCCATAAAAGGGGGGGAACTGGCTTGGTTTCAGTGTTTGCCCAACAGCTCTGATAAGAATTGTAACTTATGAGCTAAATCTGGTTTTGCAGACCTCTGTCTAAAAATTCTCCGAGAAGATAAAAGCTGTCTGGGATCACTGCAGATAGTCAAGTGGTAAGTGAGTAACAGCGAAACTGAGACAAGATTGTGCTGAATTGTGAGACATCTCCCCCTCACATTCTTCTTCCTGAATTTGAAACTGTTGTGCCCAGTAGTGGTGGCAGCTGTGCCAGGGCAGCTCCTGCCACTGCAGCCCGGGTGCTGCCCCTCGCGTAAGCAGGATGGAATTAGCTGACCAAGATCATGTGAGTTCAAGGTCTGTTGAAGTGGTGACTGGTGAGGTCATGGTCAGGCCCCAGAACAGGCTCAGACAGCGTAGGTAGGTAGAGAGGGTGAAGAAAATCATGAAGTTGATTCTGTTGTTTAGTCTTTTCTAGTTTCACTTTTCTAGGGGTTCTCGTAGCCTGTTTTTTTGATCATACAATATTTTCTTTTCCTACATGTCCGAGGACCTTGCAACTTGTTTTTGTGATATTTAGGATGTATTTCAGAGCTGGCCTGTTGCCAACAAGCAGAGGGTCTGACTTTGATGTGCTAAGGAGATACCTAGCTGCACATCCTTTGACTCAAAGAGTAACTATCTGACCACTGTTACCTCAAATAATATTTACTACTTTGAGAAAGTCCATAGCTGTAAGCTATGCATCAGATAACAAGGATTTACAAGACCAGACATGTCAGGCCATGTTCAGATGGAAGTCTCAGCCAAGCTCTGTACAAAGCTGATGGGAAAAGAGCCATCAGAGATCAGGCTGTGGAGCCAGAATAGAGCAGAGAGCAGGGAGCCCCTGAGAGCCAGCGTGGGCTGCCAGTCCTTCTCTTTGTCAGGATTTAAGTGGGCCCAGCCTGACAGGATGTGGCCCTAGAAGTATAAACAATGCACAAATGTAGAAAGGAGGATATGATGGTTGACCTGAAAAGGACTTTACAAGCCCCAAATGTTGCTAGCTGTGTTGTCTGAACTCCAGAGAAAATGCACTTTAAACTGTATCTAATGAGCGTGTGTTTACAGATCAGGAGATAAATATTGCTGGTTAGTATTAACATGGTTTTTTCCCCTGGCAGGATTCAAGGTTGTTTTGATGCTTTGGAGAGGCAGTATGTAAGTTTTTGGGTTTTGTGTTTTCTTTTGTTTTAGGGGTTTTTGTTTGTTTTGGGTTTGTTCGTTTGTTTTTTTGTTGTGTTGGGGTTTTTTTAGTGGAATTTCTCCTTCTTCACAGAGTTTGGACAAATCTATCTTTCCACTCCTGCTTTGTATTTTTGTCCTGCTCTTACATGCACACAACACACATTCACATTCACAGGACAGGGAGACAGCCTTGCCCTGAGTACCTGTGAGATTTGGGAGTTTATTTCTTGAGCTCAAATACTGACCACTGCTGCTCTCGAGGCTTCCTTGTCCATGGTGTGTGACCAAAGGGCCATGGTTGTGTGAACTCCTTTGCACCCCGAAACAGATTTCCATTGGTTCTGTGTTCAACATTTGCCTTCTCTAATGTCTGGATAGAGGCCCTACCAGTCAGAACTTAAATCTTTATCTCCGTGCCAGTTTTCTTGAGACGGGTTTTGCTTTCCCTCATCTATTTTCCTTCTTATCTTCCCTAAACCTCCTGGCTTTTTCTCTTGGGTGCAGAATTTATTCCTTTTTTTATGAAAGTAATTAATCAAGAAAGGTATATAACTGGTTCCAGAACAGCAAGTGATCGTACTCCTTGCTGATTCTCACATGAAAACAGCTCTGCATAGGAAAAAGCCCAGTTGTCACCCTGTCAGCACTGCTCATCAAACCAGCTCTCACCTCCATCAGATGAAGGGGTGTTGGTTGTGGTGCTGATAATCAGATGGGCTCTTACCCAGCACTGCAACTGTCAGCATGCATCAGATAAAGTGTTGTGAACTCAGTTCTAGGAGGTGCTTAGTCCTCTGCTGATTACGAGAGACATAAATTAATTGTGGTTTGACAAAGATTAAGGACAAAATTGAGATATTTAATGCATGCTCTAGGATTGTATTCCACAGCAATCCCGTTTTCTTGCTACAGGATAGATTAAATACCTTTGGGGAGTTTTAGAGCAGAGAGCCAATATTAAGCAAGGATGGGTGCTGTTGGAAAAGCGTTTTAAGTCGGCACAGCCTTTGGAGATTTGTTTAGGAAGAGTCCCAAGAGGGACGCCTGAGCGTGCTGGTGTTTTCTTGGGAAGCTGCGTGTGAAGCCGAGAAAAGCGGCCACTAGGTGTTGCTGATGCTGTGCTGAGCAACCTGCACGGAGGCTTTTAACTCCCAGTTAGTCGACAGTATCGATTCCTGCACTGTACACAGCCATCTGATTTCGATAAGTCTTTCTTTCCTTTGCCCTCCAAGATTTTGATTTGATTTTGATTTTGTGTTGTGTTTTCCTTTTCCCTCCTCAGTTACACGTAGCTGTCCTCGCAGTAAGTAAATGAACACAAGGTTTTTTTCTTCCCCTAACCCTGTTTGAAAGAGATAGGGAGTAAAGGTTGTGTCAACCCATTTGTGCCTTTTTCAAGGGGAAATCAACATGTATGTGACCTTTCTTAAACATGGTAAATATGAACTTCCTAGCCTGCATGGGAATGTTTTCCTCAGTATGTCAGGCTTCTGTCTGAGCCTCACATGCATCCTTTAACTAGAAGCACTTCTGTGTGCTTCTTATCATTGCTTCCTTTAAACTCTTGCATCCACCGTTGGAAGCTACTGTGGCTCCTCCATTTTCCCCTGGAGAAGAGTCATCCTTATTAATCTGAGGCTGAAGAACCCCCACATGGCTGGTGACCTGGTCCTTTGTAAGGCACCAAGAGCTATGCTGTGCATCATCTGAGCAGTTCAATTGCAGGCATCAGTAGTTGCCTATGAGGGCTGGAATAGGAATTAACCTCATTCCTCCCCAATTACACAGGTCTTCTACCTGTCTTTGAAGTGGTAAGTAGACTGCTGATAGAGGAAGGCCTTTTCTCAGCCATTCCTTTCTCTGGTCCCGTGCTGAAGATAGTGCAATCTCTGCTGTATAATGAAAATATCATTGTTTAGTCACTTTTCAGTGGCTCAGGTCATCCAAGAGGAGAATGCCCTCACTGTGCTTTCTTATAACAGATTTACACCAATCCCAAAGAACCGGAGGTAAGAAAGAGTCTTAATTAATCTTTGAGGCAACTGAAGGCATGGGTGAGTAGATTTGTATGCAGGGTGGACTTGTAGGCTTAAATTCTACCCTGACATAGCTGCTTGGTGACCTTGTTTCTCTTCTTCTGCCTTTGCTCAAGGGTGACAGCTCAGTGAGCTGGTTTGTGATCAAACACTCTTCCCAGGCCCTGGGCTGTGGGCCCATCCAGGGCCTCAGGCAGGGATGTTAATGGACATGGTGGCAATTTTCTTTTTCCTTCCTGAAGAGAAGAAATGGGAAGTTCAAAATAATCCTGTTATGAACCATCTTTTTTTTTAACAGGAACATTGAAAAAAAAAGCTGTGGTTTTGTGCAGAGAATTTTAGGGCAGAAGTTGTGAATCACTTTGGACTTGGGATCCTTTCAGTGCTCTATTTTGTGTTGCTGTTTTGCCAACACTGGTAGAGACAGCCAGGGTGGGGTGGTGTAGAAGAGAGGTGCTGCACCCAAGTTGTCTCCACAGAGCAGATGCAGGGAACAGCTGCAGGATCCTTGCTCACCTGGTGACAGTTCTGCTGTGTCACACCTCACCTCAGCTCCTGGGGAGGGAGCAAGAGTCTGTACCAAGGCTGGGATAAGGAAGGCTCAGAGTTAAGGGCTCAGCTCCTAATCAACCTCATTGCCCCTGGAAAAAGTTATTATAGGCATGGAATTGGACTACAATAGAGCTTTTCTCTTGTGGTGAAACAAGTCTGTTCTTCCTAATTTTTTTTATTCTCTAAAATCAGAGCAAATCCTTTCCTTTTAAATGGAAAATCAACTAGTTTTGTTTTGTTGTTTTTTTTTCTTTCCATCACAAAACTCCTGAGACCAGTGAAACTCAGAAACTTGAGCCCATGCAGTATTGTTTCTGTTTCCTAGTAGGAAGAGCCCTCTAGGCCCTTGTCCTCATGCAGAGCTCTGGGCCAGGCTGTGTCACCCATGGAGCCTCCCTTTTGTCCTTTGAGAAAGGGAGGATGTGGGTACATGGTGATGGTTGGCTGGCCCTGTTACCTCATGAGAAATTGAGGCTGGGGAGCCAAGTCCACAGAGGAAGGGGAAGGAGGAAGCAGGAAGTTGCAATTTTTTGTGATTCTTTCAGTGCCAGGTGGTGGTTAAGAAAATTTGCCAAAGAGTGTGCAAGTAATAATAGAGTTAAAGCTGTCATCATGTCATTAAATTAGTGCTGTACTCTGACATAAAGTTGTGGAGGGGCACTGCTAAGTTCAGGACTCATCTTTACACTCATTATTGAAAGAGACCTGTGTCTTCTTTTCCCCTCTCTTGTTTCATCTCTAGACAGTGACCGAACTGTACCAGTTCAAATTCAAGTACAAAAAGGAGGTGCCCCAGATGGACATCAGCAGGTAAAGGTTTGGTGTTTCTCAGGATTACACTGTGCAAACTGTGTTCTTGAAGCACTAAGAGGAAACTGCACTTCATCACTAGAGCACATCCAAGCTCCTGAGCAGCTGTAAATACCAGCAGAGCTGAGGATGTTCCCCCTGCAGGGTAGGAGCTGCTGAGGAGCAGGGCTGTGAGGTAGCACAGAGAGGCACTTCAGCTGCTCCAGAACTGAATTAAGGCTGATTTATAGAAACAATACCAGCTCAGGGTAGCAATGCAGGAGCCTTGCTTCTGTCTCTGACTCATAATTCTTCCATGTTCACCATACAGCCTGGTGCTTTCAAATGGAGCTTTTTCAGGTTGGATCCCTCTTGCCATGATCTTGCACTCAGGGTTTTTTTTCCTTGGGCATTTGCATACGTGTGTTCTGCTTGAGCAGTTTTATGTGGGTGACTTGAGACAACTTTCACTTGTGATGCCTGAGTTGATGCTGCAAAATGTGGGGCAGGAAGCAGCAGCTTTTTGCATCTTTTTGATTCTGTTGGATATTTTAAACTGTTTAGCAGGCCATAACCCTGTCTTGTTTAAAATCAGTACTATCAAAGGCTGTTTGCTATAACCAAAGCAAAGAAAAATAATTAGTCTGTTTTCAGTCTGCTTCTGCAATTGCCATCAATGAAAGATGGATCTTTGGGCCTTGGAACCTGCCTGTACAGCAAGAGAACTCTGCTGTCTCCAGTCGTCCTCAGGAAACCCCTCTGCAGGTCCCCTCTAGTGTGCCATTAGCCACTTTCTCTAAACACATCCATGTAATTTGTAGTACATGGAAAAGTGATTTTATGCTGGGAAAATCTGAACTGTGCTTGAGCCTGGAGTGTCCTGTTGACTGTACCCTCTGGTTCTGCTTTTAAGCTGCTCTCAGTTGTCCTCACTGCATTGAGGGAGAGAGGAAAGCTTTGGGATCTGAAAGATAATAGATAGCTCTGTTTTTTCAATCAGCCTTACTCATTAGTTCCTAGAAATAACAACAGTCCCCAAATGGAACTCAGCATCCCTTGGTGTTGGTCAGACTGGCCAAGCAGAGGCTTAGCCATCTGGCTGTTGGGTTGGTATCTGCTCCATCAAAATCCCATCATTGCTCTGAGGCTTCAAAGTTGGTGGTAGCAGATTCCTGGGCTGTGTTCTCTTTCCTCAGTGCCTGTCACTGCTGTGTCAGGATCCTGCCTGTGCCTGCACTTGTTACTAAACTGATGTTCTGGCATTGGTCAGAGTGTTGTGTCATCTTTGCTCTCAGCTCCTGCATCTGATTGTCCTGCTTTTGGACACCTGCAAGTTTTATTGTCCTGGGAACTCTGAGTTCATCTTTTCATGAGAGATAATTTGTGGGTCTGCATTGTCATCTCTGGGTGGTAAATGGAGACTTCCTCCTAGATGGTCCCTGCCTTATTTTAGATGGATTTTGGAGGGGTTCCTTGCCATTGATCCCAGTCCTCGAGAGAGGTTCTGTTCCTCAGCTTCTACCTTTTGACACATTCCTACAATGTTATTCCCAAATTGAACCAATACTTGACCTGTTAATTCCTAGGGAAGTGTGATTTCTTTTTTGCTTATACTCTTCTCCCTTGCCATTTCTATTCTGCTAAGCCCAAGACTTAGAATCATGGATTCATTAAGGTTGGAAAGGACCGCTAAGATCATTAACTCCAACTATCAACCCAACCCCACCAAGGCTGCAAAACCATCTCCTGAAGTGCCAAATCTACATGTTTTTTGAACACCTCCAGGGATGGTGACTCCACCACTGCCCTGGGCAGCCTGAGGGCCTGACCACTCCTTCAGTAAAGAGAACTTTCCTAATATCTTAATATTTCCTAATATCTCCACATGTAAATGTGACATGTAAGAGAAGACCTAACTTGTCTCTACTCCTTAGGCATTGCCAGTATTTGTCCTCTCACTTGAGGTACATTTCTGAACACACAGGATTCAATCTGGTGGCACAGTGTGCTCAGCTCAAAGGTTTGTTGCTGAAAATTTGAAGCCTACCAAAACATACCCTGCAAACTCAAGCTGTTCAACAGCCACTCAGTTTTCATGATGAGCCAAGAAGCTTCAAGGAGAAGGGAAAATCAATCTTAATGAAGCTGTTCCTTCCAGTGGTTTAGTCAGTCAGATTGAGCCCTGGGATCCTCTCTGCTCTCTTGGGTTACTTTCTGCTTTTAAAGCAAGTTGGGGTGATTGTGTTAGGGATGATCCAGCCTGTATAGAGTGTCCTCCACCTGCTTGTAGACCTCCAAAGATGTAACACAGGAGATACACCTTTTTTATGACCCCTTCTTATTGAAAGTTAAGGATGTTTAGGTTCCTTAGTCACGTCGTGATTCATCTAGTCCGTTTTTAACCGTCTAAAGTTAGCTGGCTGATCTAAGCTGCACATCTCATCTACCTCAGTAGACAAGAGAAACAAACTCCTCCAGAGGGCGATTCATCCCACTCCTGTTACACGTTTGTCTAGACTGCTTGCTGAGGCTGGCCAACTGACATTTGGATGGGTGAAGGAGGTGAGAGGAATGCCCCTTCGTCACTTTGAAAGAATGTGCTTCTGAGCTGCTTTTTTCTGACGTGGAACTGAAGTGAGAACATGCAATTCACTTCTCCTCAAACTGCAAAATGGATTTGAAAACAGCCCCTGTGATGAATCAGGCTTTATAGGGGATTCTCACCTCATTCCTCTCATTCCTGAAATTGCTTAGGTGAAAGGCACTTGTTTTGTGGTCCTCTGATCCAATTTAATCATGTTAAAATGAGTGAGTAATGACATTTGTATAATGGGGTCCCAGCTACAGAGTCTGTTCAAATGGAAATGCCATTCCTCTTAGTTTGGAGCTGTTGTGCTGATGCCACTCTATCCCTGAAGTCTGTTTCACTTCCCTATTTACCTGGAAATGACAAAGCCATTGTAGCTTTGTCACTGGTGGTTTCAGACGAGTCAGTGGGTGCACTGTATTTGTCATGAGGTCATGAATATTCATGACTGAAGAACACAGATCTGTTCTTCTTCTTCCCATTGTAGCAACCAAATGACCTTTGGGAGCGAGGTGTGCAACAGGGACATGAAACAGGCCAGCAGGCTCCTGATCAGGAAGCTGTACCTGTTAATGCAGAACCTGGGGCCACTGCCCAACGATGTCACCCTGACCATGAAACTCCTCTACTACAATGATGGTAGGTGGAGAACTTCCTTTTCCTTCCCTTTCTGTGCTGATCATGAGCCCCTATAAGGCAGGTGAAGCACAGAATGGTGAAATGGTAGCAGCTCTTCACTGACAGCAGTGAGAAATGGTGTCAATCATTATGATGCTTTCTGACCCACAGGGATGGGAGATGCTGTCTAAGGAGGGATTGACTATCTCTCTAAGAAGTACAGCTACACAGTGTGAAAAGGAGACATCCTCCTCCTTCACAGTTTTGTTTCTTTGTTGTTTTTTTTAAAGGAGCAGGCATCCTGCAATTGTCAGGTTCTGCTCCAGAAGGTTGAGTACATTAGTGGTATCTCAGCATCCTAAAGTCCTAGAATCATAGAGTTAGGTTGGAATGGACCTTAAAGATCATCAGGTTCCAACCTCCCTGCTATAAGCAGGAACACCTCCCACCAGACCAGGCTGCACGAGCCTCATCCAACCTGGCCTTGAACACCTCCAGGGATGGGGCAGCCACAACCTCCCTGGGAAACCTGTTCCAGTGCCTTCCCACCTTCATGGTGAAGAATTTCTTCAGTTTAAAACCATTCCCCCTTGTCCTGCCACCACACTCTCTGGTGAAAAGTCATTGTTCCTTTGAGGTCCCTGGTAACATTTGCACAGCTCCTTTTTTCCTTTGCATTCTCTCCCTTCTTCCTGAAAATAACCCAAAACAAACCAGAATATTTTTAGTCATTGATGCTGTTACTCTAGGCTGGTACACACTTGTTCTTTATAAGTCAGATTAAGGAGAGATGGAACTTGATTTCTTGGGCATCATTGGGTTCTTTCTCCCTGTGCAGTAACTCCTGAAGATTACCAGCCCCCAGGCTTTAAGGAAGATGGCAGCCCTGGTGACCTGTTGTTTGATGGTCATCCTGTCAGCCTGAGAGTAGGGTCAGTCTCCACAGGGTTCCACCTCATGAAAGTGAAAGTGACAACTGAAAAGAAGAGAATGAAAACAGTGGAAAGCAACGTGATCCAGGAGAATGGTCCTATTGAGATCTCCCATCAAGGGTTAGACTGTGATGAAGAGGAGGAGGAGGGGAGCACAAAGGTATAAAAACAGTTCTATTTGGCTCTTGCTGGAGGAATGGAGTTTATCTAGCAAAACTCTCATTAAAAGAAACATTTTCTCAGCATCCCAGTTTAAGAAGGGTTTCAGCAGTCCATAGACAAAGTGAATTTCATTCCAGCATATCCACTGCCCTCCTGAGTCCAGTGTGTTCTCCCAGAAGAGGGCAGTGATTGCACAGTGAGACCCAGCACACGCGTGTGCACACACACACTCTTACACACATATGTCCACAAAATGGAGAAGATTGCAGAGTTTTGCCTTTCCACTTGGTGTTCCTCAGGACTGAGCCACGTTCCACTGTGGAGTTAGGTGGGATTCCTTCCAGTCACCTCTAGGCAGCTGGAAGCTGTGTGCTGTGCCTGATGTCTCTGTGCTGCCCTCTGCACCTAGTGGAGGGCATCTTTAGCAGTAATGCAGATAATTTCTTGAGACACCAGGGTAGGCTGGGATGAGTGGTCCTCTGGTGATGCCTCTCCAAAATGACAGAAGGAACAGCCTGGACTGGTTACATAGACTAGACAATTTAATTTTAGGTGGTCAGTGCCAGGAAATAAACTCCAACATAACTAACTCCTGAAGACAGGAAGAAATTTAGGTGGGAATTCTGTCTTTTCTTAGCTGATTTCCCTCTTGAAAGAGTTGTAGGCTTGGGAGAAGGAAGGCCTGGGCACTGAGGAGCTGTGAAGGTTTCATCCCTATTAGTGCTGGGTTTATGAATGTACCAACTGAGTGTATTTTTTAGGTTATGTTATTAAGACAAAGCATAATTTATTTTACAGAATCACCCTCTACCTGTCAGAGCAGATTCAAGTGAGTGTGGAGAAGACAAAAGTAACACCCATCTGGACTGGAAAATGGAAGCATCTTCTTGTTGCCTTCAAGATACAGGTAAGTGCCTTGTTTCAAAACTGAAGGGGTTTGTGCTCATGACTGCATCCCAGCATAATATTTAGGTTTTCTCACTTAACTGGGGAATGGGTGAACAGAGTTTCCTTGGACTGTTTGAATTTTGTGTCAGATCAGATAGAGCTGTAACAAATAGCTTCTTGAATATGCTTGGTTTGTTAACAGGAACATTCAGGTTTTTTCAGTATCTTTTTCACCTCGTTATCTCATCAGTTTTTTCAGATATGGAGATGCACAGTTGATCAATAACAGAGTTACATTATCTACATTTTCACCAAAGCTCTTTTCCTTTGGCTGGTGCAGTTTGATTTTGCTAATGACTTCCATATCTGAAAACACACGTGAAAATGGGGAAAAAAGAAATCCTTTTCTGTCACTTCAGGCACCCCAGCTGCTGCCACCCCCTGCTGTGTTTGACCTTTGAGGCTCTCAGATATAGCCTGTGGAACAATACCATCTAGTGACAAAATGGTAAATAGCATTCCTGAGATCCCCAGGCAGCAGAATAAAGAGGCCTTCTCAGGTCTTTCTCCTGCAGCTTTTCTGATGACTAAGAAGGGGTGAACTCGTGCTACCACCTTCTCCACTGTGGGGAGTTAACGGGATCTTCCTTCTCTAACCAACTGTCTGTTTCAATGAAACTGAAGGTGCTTTGGACTCTCCATCAAGTTTTATTGAAACTGTTCAAGAAGGTCAATAGTTCTTAGTCAGGAGACAGCTCCTCTCCTGCCCCATGCCCACACCCACTTGGAAAGAACACATGAAGGCAAAAGCTTTGGTTTTTTAGGAAAAAATAAATGGAGTTCAGGTTTCACTGACAGAAGCTGCTGCTGAAATCTCTGTTCCCAGGAATAAACTGCCAGTGTTGGCACTGCCAAAGGTGGCATGGGATCAGATCAGGCATAGGATTTTCCAACAGTGCTTTAGTCAGGCTTCTGAGGTGTTTGCTTGGTTTTTTTTTTCTTCAATTAAATATAGAGTTTTAACTTCATAACTAATTTTGATACCCTGTTGGGGTTGCAGGTGGAAAGATGACAAGAATGAAGGTGACAGGCAGGATGCCTTGCTCAGGAGCATCTCAGCAGGTGAGCAGATTCTGCCAGGCAAGGTGGAATTCATTGCCACAGAACATGATGTCATCTAGGATGGCACAAGATTTAACTAAAATTTATGAATTTATTGTGCAGTATTCATAGAGGCTACAATGTATTAGGGCCCAGGGAAGCAAGTAGGAAGACATTTTCCATGGCCAGCTTATTTCGTACATCCAGTACAAGGATTTTGTACTACTCTCTGGATTTGTCGCTGGTGAGTTACTCACACAGACTGAATGGATCAGTGTCCCAAGCAGGCTGGGGTACCTGTGTGTGTTTTTGGATTAAGGCTCTCAAGTCACCACCCTGTGTTAGGTTTGGAGAGTCTATTTGTCTATGGCCTAACATGGTCTTTGCTTCTCCTTTCTTGCATCCAGACTTTCTCTACATGTGAGTCACAGGTATTTACTGGATCCTATCCCCTTTTGGCTACCTGCCTAGGATAGCAAGAATTATCCCCTGGAGGTGCTGATCTCTTTTTCAGTGGTTGTTGGGGAAACCCAAAGAACTAGGGTAGACGAGCCATGTCATTTTAGATAACTAAAGTTATGTGAAATGAATTCCATCCTGAAGGCTGCCCAGGCCTAACCCTGAGTCAGAAGCAGAGCTTGAATTCACAGAATTGTGCAGAGGTTTTTTCAGTGACAGGGCAAATCTCTGAATACCACCAGCCTTACCACTTGGGCATTCTCCCATTCAAATTAGGTGAAAACCATGTGAGCTTTCAATGTTCAGAAATTGAATCTTTACAGGGGAAGTTAATGAGAGTAGGAAATTGCTTCTAAAATTTTCCCTGCCTGTGTTGAAAAGAATCCTGGGGTGTCTAACCCAGACAGCAACTGGAGACTACAACGTAACGTGTCATTCAAAAGGCATCTGTGAAGTATTTGCCTTGACTCTGGATCTTAGAAATGAACTTCTGTGCCTAGGCTGGTATTTTTCAAACTTTAACCACATTTTTTCTTGGTCTCACATCCTCCAGTTTCCTTCTGATCATTGTTTATTCTGTCGTCTATGTGAAAACAGGAGCCTTTTTTGTTTGGAACTCATGGCTGTGCCACTGATTCATGCTCTGACATTCTTTTGGGTCTGTCATGATTGTGAGCCCCAGACACCTCTGCTGCAGCATGTGAATTTCATTAGAATATGGTAGCAACAGTGAGAGTGTCTGAAGGTGGTGGAAACTGTTGCTGAAAAATGCAAGAGTCACTTTATCCATTGCATGCATCCAAGGACTTAAATAATCCCAAGCCTGCTGCCTGGTGGATTCTGCATGGCAGGTTGTTTGGGTTTTATTAATATTCTTTGATATTGTTTTTTAAACCATCATAGCTTAGAAGTTGGGTAATATTTCAGTCAGTCTAGGGAAAAACTAAGTCAAGCCACTAGTTAAAAAGTGCAGATCATCATTGTAAAGCCAGTGCTAATAAAAATTTGACACTGTTTTCCATATGAGAGGGACTTTCCCTTCTTTTCTGAGGGAAGTGGTTAAAACAAATGACCATTGTGTCTTCCACTTGAATCAGGAAGACAAACTGGTGAGTGAAGTTTGTCTTAAAAGATGAGGACAAGTTTGGGTGGATGGGAAGTCTGAGCTAGGTGTTATCTAACAGGGTCAAGTGGAGGTAAGATGGGTAGGAGAACTGCTGTTGTGGTGTGAATGTGAACACCTTGTTGCTATCCAGACTGCACTACAGTCAAGTTTTCCAGCTTTCCACTGTGGTCAGAGGAACTCTCTGCTTTAAGGAGCTGTTAAGGTCTCCAAACTGACTTGTCTCCTCCTGGATTTTGGAATTTATTCAGCTTGGTATGTGAGGGGCCTTGGGGAACAACCATGGAGCTCTGCTTTTTTTGGGACAGGCATGAGCCCTAAGACTTGCAGTGCTAGTGGGTGACTTTGAGTGTTAGGTTTCCACCAGAAGAAGATCCCCTTGAACCAACTCACTGAATGATTGCTGACCTACAGCACTGCTGCAAGAGAAGGGAGCAGGGCTGGACAGCCAGGAGATGGCAAAGAGGGTCCAGGAGGGAGACCTGCCCTTCTGCTGATGGTGCAGTGTTACCTGTTGAGCTATCCATGGAGCAGCACCTCAGGGACTGGGCTTTAAAGGTACTCTCTATACAGTTAAACAATAAGGCCAAGATTTTCAGAACTACCTAAAACAGTTTGGAGTGTCTCAAAATTCAATATCTGTTCAAGGATTTGATAGTCAAGAAGTGCTGAGTTCAAAAATGTAGGACCTACAGACATCAGGACGAGCCCATTACTGCTCTTCAGCTGAAGGAAACTGCTTTATTCTTTCTGGTTCCTCAGTTATCAGAAATAAAAATTATGCACTTGGAACAGAGTTTATTAGTTATTATCTTCCTGACCTATAGCTCTTCAGGAAAACCAGGAATGAACCTATTAAAGGCTTATCTTTATCTCATCAACATGGGAGAAACAGAGGATGCAGATCTACCAGAAGAGCAGCAGCTCTTCCTGTCCAGTGAGGCTGTCACTGGCCTTTAGAAATGGCCATGGAGACTCTGACAGGGCTTTTCAGACTGGAGAAAAATTCACATGTGCTCAACTGGCTCATTATCTGCAATCTCATGATTGATGATGCTTAGGATCAAATGAGAGATTGCACTTTCCTAGCAAAGCATCTCTGTACTTAATCACCCAGAGTTAGACACCAGCTTGTAAATCAACCTACCCCTGCTGGCTTCAGGAGAGTGCTGCTGATGGCATCAGCCAAGGGTTTGGTCCCCTGTGCTATCCCTGCTGCTTTCCACTGGCTTTTTAGGAGTTGGGAATAGCTGGGTAAAATAGGGAATTGCTGCCCATAGGGGTAACTTACAGAAATCTGCTGATGAGAATGGCATCCTGCACTGAACTGAAGATAACTTCTTGAATTCTTTGGCATACTCCTTTACCCTTTTGTGACCCCTTGAACGTTCTTGTCCTGAAAATAGATTTTGGTAAGCTTGGCCTTCATGTAAGCAAACATGTTGCAGTGGAATGAGTTTGGAATGAAACAGAACTGGGAGATGAGTAAAATCTGACCATGTGGACGCCTCTGCAGGCTTTTATCTCCCATCAGGAAGCTGTGGGCTGAAGTTCTGGGGTGGTCCTTCAAGCTCAGTCTCACTGCACAGTGGAGCAGCCGTGCAGAGAGCCCTGAATAGGCCCTGGCTGAGCTGGAAATGGTGTGGCCATATCAGCACAGCTCAAGTCCCTGCTGCCTCCCAGGATTCTGGCTTCATTAGCTGGGGCCAGACACTGCTTGTGCTGCTAGACTGACTGTGCTTATGCTCCTAGACCCCTGTGGGACATGAGGAAGTGTGTGTTGACACTTGGTGTTGTGTGGACATGATCAGTTTGGATCAGTGATAGCTCAGGGGTCTCTGCACTGCTGTTGCCTGCCTGCTGTAGGCCTGCTCCTGCCATGGGGATCAGCTCCCTTCACTGGGGCAGTCTGAAGGTTAGGTGTCTAGGGAGAGAGTCAGATCTAAATGTTGTAAATCAGTGCTGGTTTGGACCTCAGAGGACAGCCTGTCTGGCCTCCAGCTGTTGCTCCCATGCAGGAGACTTGGCTACCTGGCCTCTTTCTCCAAGGGACTGTGTCAGCCATGGAAGCCAGTGAGAACAGTCTTTCCTGGCTAAAACATAGGGAGTAACATCTGCCACCTTTGCCAGTGGTCAGTGTCCTGTTGGTGCCAGGGCCATGGTCACCCTGGTGTAGGCTCGTGGGAGCTTCTGTGCTGGGGGCAGCTTCTGTCTGAATGTGGAGGTTAGCACGAGTGGTTTCAATTGCAGAACAACAGCTTGGAGATCAAGACCTTTGTTGTCTGATTTTTCCCAGGCAGACCACATTTCAAACTGCCATGACAGAAAGCAGTTGAAGGGTGAAGCCAGCCATTTGCAGAGCAGTAGGAAAGCATTTTTCTGTGGCAATGTCATTATCTTGAATTAGGTGTCTAGGGAGAGAGTCAGATCTAAATGTTGTAAATCAGTGCTGGTTTGGACCTCAGAGGACAGCCTGTCTGGCCTCCAGCTGTTGCTCCCATGCAGGAGACTTGGCTACCTGGCCTCTTTCTCCAAGGGACTGTGTCAGCCATGGAAGCCAGTGAGAACAGTCTTTCCTGGCTAAAACATAGGGAGTAACATCTGCCACCTTTGCCAGTGGTCAGTGTCCTGTTGGTGCCAGGGCCATGGTCACCCTGGTGTAGGCTCGTGGGAGCTTCTGTGCTGGGGGCAGCTTCTGTCTGAATGTGGAGGTTAGCACGAGTGGTTTCAATTGCAGAACAACAGCTTGGAGATCAAGACCTTTGTTGTCTGATTTTTCCCAGGCAGACCACATTTCAAACTGCCATGACAGAAAGCAGTTGAAGGGTGAAGCCAGCCATTTGCAGAGCAGTAGGAAAGCATTTTTCTGTGGCAATGTCATTATCTTGAACTTTTGCAGAAAGGAGAAAAAAAAAAAAAAAAAGGTTTATCTCTAACTGTCTATCAAGAGAGCTGTATCTGATGAGAAGTTCCCAGAACATTTTCTCCTCCAAAGCAGCTGAGGCTACACAGACCCAAAGAATGAAGAGAAAGAGATTCAGAGATGAGCTTGCCTCTCCTTCCTGTGAGCTCAGGCCATTCTGGGAGGAGTGAGACAGGGAGGTCAGGAAATTCCTGGCTGCTCTCAATTCACGTCAGATCCTTAGCTGTATCTTGGGGCCATTCATCCCTTGCATGAGTTATCCTTGTCTAGAGTGCAGGAAACAATTTCCTAGTGATCTCTTCATTCAGAGGTGAGGCTCATCACCCTGCAGATCTGAGGGGGATTTCATTCCTGCACCCTCAAATTCCTCAGGGACATCCATGGGAAGATGTGGAGCTTCCGTGCTGGCTGCCTTTGCCTATGTTCATAACATATGTGCTGGCAACCAGACTCTCTGGGGCAATCTGCATAAATTAAGGTTGGACAGATCTATTATCCCATGAGGGACTAAGCTGG